AGCGGCAAAAGCGCCTGCCTGGCAAGTGTAAGGTCGTGAGTTCGGTTCCCGGTACCGGAGAAAAACCAAAAAAAAAAAAAAAAAAAAAAAGAAAGCAGTTTTTCTTGCAGGGCCTGATGGCACACACCCGCAGTCCCATCTGGGCCGGAGTCTGAGGCAGGAGCGTTACAAGTTCAAGCCCAGCCTGGGCAATTTAGCAAGACTGTGTCTCGAAATAAAAATGGAAAGGACTGAGGTTGTAGCTCAGTCAGTGCCGGTGCGGGCCCTGGGTTCAGTCCCCAGTACCATCCCAAAAAATGCTTTCCATCCTCTCCCGCTTAGAGGAAGGGCAGGGGCAGGGCCGTGGGGACCACTGATAGAGCAACAGGGAAGAAAAGGAAAGGCACTCTCCCTCCTCCAGCTTCCTGTTCACTTAGGAACTGTGCCAGCTGCACAGGTTAGCTCCTCCTTTCAATCCAACGTGGTCGTTAGCAAAGTCCGGTCATCCTGCAAAGACACAAACCGCCATAGCCAAGGGTCGAGGAGGCTCACCACAGGCCCCTGAGGCATCACGGGACTGGCCTCCGTCCTCTGGAAGCGTGCTGCCCCAGTCCTGCTTCCCGCTTCTCTGAGGATGTGTTCCATTTGCTGCTCGGCTCTCCTGCACAGAAAAGTCTTCCTGTGCTGGAGCCAATACATGGGTTTCCTTGACTTCTGCCCTGGAGCCCGACTGCCTGCGCCTGGCACCCCACCGAGCCCTCTGAACTGCCACAGGCCGCCCCTCACACTTGAAACCAAACGTTCTCTCTGAGGCTCCTTGGGCACTCAGCTCTCCGCCTGGCCCTCCCGCGTGGACGCTGTCACGTTCACCAGTGGTTTCCAAAATAAAAAAATCCAGCCTCTTCTTGTTCCAAGTCTGATGTTTTAAAATGTAGAACACCTTTACATTTTTTTTTACTATTTCTATTTAAATCCCTTTAACATAGTAGCTCCCAAATTAAATGTGTTAACACCACCTCCTCCACAAAAGCATCAAGCCTGGTGTTAAAAGAGAGGCTTCAGTACACTCACGTTTGAAGTGTTTATTCGAGCACACAAGCCCTGAGTGGGTCGGCACCAGACCCCCAGCAACTGGACTTCCATAAAGAGGGCCCCGAGTGTAGCTTTCATGAGGTTTTCTCAAGAAGCTAAACCAGGAGAATGTGTCCCATGGTTAGAGGGGGAAGTCCCTCGCTAGAGGTTACACTGAGTTTCAGGCTGATCGGGGTGAAGTTTTGTGTCACTGTTTACATGCAGATGGCTTCGGCTTGCGTAGTATATAGGAGCCTGAGGCCGAGAGCCAGCTCACAAGAGTAGCCTCGCAATTTTAAGGGCGTACTAGAAAGATCGCAAAACTTGAGTCTAGAAATCCTACGCCGCCTCTTCATTCACCAGGCAACCTCGGACTGCTGCTTGACTTTGCAGACCCTGGTTCTCTCATCTGTAGAACAGGCAAGATAATACCTGCCTGTGTCACAGGTTCTGAGGGTCTAATGAGCAGGTGCTCTCTGCACCACCGAGGCTCGCTAACTGAGGTACGAGCCAGACAGGCCCGCTCCTCCGCGGAGCTCCACTCTTTAAGGATGACTGGCACTGCCTCAGCTCCTGCGTGTCAGCTGATGGCACAGTCCACCCACCTCGCTGCATGCTCCCTGCCAGTAGCGCCTGTTCCTGGTTGTCATTATGTCCCCCGACACCCTACTCGGTACCTGGTTCATGAAAGGGTCCTGTACGTTCAGACAGTTGCGCCCCTCTCTTGGACCTAAATGTCCTAACCATGACCTCGTACCACTTGGTCTACTTCGGGCAGGGTAAAGTGGGCTCCTACCACCACCACCTTCCCTGACTGCGGGCACTGACACCTTTACTCTCAGCTGGCTTTTACTGAGCCTGTGTTATTTGCCAAGCCATGTTCATGCCCCTCAGCCCAGCCCCTGAGAAGGTGACCCTGGTGAGCACACAGCCTGGGTGCTTGGTTGCCTTGGTCCCTAATAACCCACTCCCAAACGCCAAAATACTTAGCACAGCACTGGGCATGTAAAGTTGCTCAGAAAGCATCGCTGTAAAAAATGTTTCCCTTTTAATTTCATGCCACTTATTAGAAACTCTGTTAGTGACTTAACCAGTGGGATTTCTCGTTATGTGAGCCATTTCAGTGGCTGCTTTCAGAAAACCATGCCATGTTTACTTCCCCAGCAAACCTAGAACTTCTGCCACTAGTAAAACTACAGATCACCCAATATGCTATTCTCTGTATATGTTCTGTGCTTTATTTGTCCTGAATTTGTAAGTGACATCATTTTATTTGTTTGGTAGCCTTTTTAAGATGTATGAATGAAGACTAATTATCTTGTTGTTTGGTTTGTGCTGCGTTGCACTTGTTATGCTTCTGGCCCATGTGGTTTAGAACTGTGATAATTAAGTTTTGAATTCTGCCCAAGTTTCCCTAATCTGAACAAGCGCGACTCTTTAGTCCTGTGGCCCTGTCCCTTTCTTCTGACCCTTCCCCACCATTTCTCCATGCTGTTGTTTTTTTTTTTGTTTTTTTTTTTGCAGCACCCGGGATCGAACTCACGACCTTATGCTTGCCAGGCAGGCGCTTATGCCATGAGCTATATCCCCAGCCATGCTGTTTTTCTTAACCTTATTGCAAAGCTGGCCCTTGCGCCCTGGTGGTTCTTCTGTGCCACGCACTTCCAAAGCACTCCCCCTTTCTAGACTGACATTCGCCTGCATAAAGAAGATCCCCCCAGACGGAGGCGATCCCTGCCTTATTTCCATCACCCTTCTTGCACTGTAGCTCAGGAATTCCGAACCAGGCTGGCAGCTAATGTGTCTGTGGTTCCGCTTCCCCGCAGGTGAAGAAGACCTGAGTGTGGAAGAGGACGAGGAAGTGCTGACGCTACTGTACGACCCATGTCTGAACTGCTACTTTGACCCCCAGACTGGGAAATACTACGAGTTAGTGTAACCCCTCCTTCTATGACAGAGCAGCCACCCAGCTGGAGCAGGGCAGCAGCCCAGATTCTATCAAGGAGGCACCACAAGCTGTGTGGAGGGCAGGCCCGGAAACCAAACAGAACGGAGAGAGATTAATTCGCTTTATAAATAATGTTCAGTGCTAGGAATCCTTATGTTCTCTTTGTAGATGTGTGTGGTTTTGAATCTGTGAAGGAATTAACAGAGACAAGATTTTAGGACTTTGAACTGATTCTTATTGATGTTCATTCTCATGCTGCATCTAATTTTATTTCATATTTTATGTAAATAAGTTATTCACTCAAATTTTTTGCAGTGTTAATCTGTAAATGATGGCCTGATATACCACAGAAAGTGTATTCTTGTTTAAAAGATATCTGGGAACCTTTTATTCTATAATATATTTGTATTAAAAATAAAGTATGATGAAAAAAAAAAACCTTTTAAACTGCTTCATTTTATCCACTCCACTCTTTACCAGAATATTCCTGATAGTTGTCTTTTCTTAGACTCAAGAAAGAAAACAGGAACCGGTCAGACTTTATGATCACATTTTATTGGCTCTGGCCCCACTAGTCTCATTTCATTTTAGTTTATCCAGAGTTTGCTACCGATCACAATATTGTTAATCACTTAAGCTGCTTAACGTTGTACTTTGCTTTTCTCTTTTTAATCTTTTACCAATTATTGTTGAATTATAGTAATCTAGCTGCATGATTTAATAAGAAGTCACCATTGGAACACCTGCTATACCTCCCCACACCCGTGACCTGGGCCTAGAGAATGCTGGGAGGCTTTCTTGGGTCTTTAAGACTCTGTCAGTGCAACTCTGCTCAGTGGGTCACACGACAAAAATCGTGTGCTGCTTGCATTAGCGTAGCCAGCCTTGGATTGTGTGCCAAGTACATTAATATTGAGTTCGAGGCAGTACTTATGATATTAGCTGGCATATTTTGTTATTTAATAAAGATTTTTAATAAAGAAGAGTACCGCTGGAAATGAAAAATTATTGGTGTACAGTTAGATTTAATGGTAGTACTATAATTTCATTTAATGTTGCTTGATAGAGGAAATACGCTCTTTTTTCATGAAAAGCTTTGGGCTCCTGTTCAAAGAGTCATACATTATTTAGTACCGTGCTTGTATTTGATAAGCTTTTAATCCTGTTGTTCACAAAGTATACCTTTGTTATGAATTTATGTCCAAGTTCTCCATACTTACAAAATGAAAATGAGTAAGTAAGGCTCCACAAAGCATGCAGAATAATAAAAAGAGTTGAGGTTATCGTAATCATGACTTGAAGGCTAGAGTAGGGATCGAAAGGCCTTATTCCTGCTTTAAATAGTGTCAGGACCACCCCGCAATAGAGGAGCGGATTAAAACTTGGTATTCGTTAAAACCTACAGATGCAAATCAGAAGCATCATGAGCTAGTCTGTGGGGGAAAAAAGATACCAGAGTGCCTCATGAACCCCAAAACAGAAAGCTACACAGCCCCCCAAATGGGTGTGAGCTGGGACCTCAAGAAATAGAGAATACTGTTAGGATGCTTGAATTATAAGCAAAAGATGCAGAATTCAAAAGCTGGCTGAAAAGCCAGACTCAGAGACACAGGAATCAGGGCGGCTCCAGGGATCCCAGTAGCAACGAGTTTCTCATGTCAATCCGTGGTCACCAAAATGACACCACCCTTTTCTGTCCCAAGTCTCTGCTAAAGCGGCAGAAAGCTGATGGACCTACTGTTTGTCACCCCATATGGAGGGAGGGTGAGACAGTGCCTGAAAGAGAAGGGGCTGTTCACCGTGTGCAGAGGGTTATCACCCCGCAAAAACAGCCAGAAGCGTTTCTGCCGCTCCTCTCTGATTCATCTTGCTGTTTCTTCTTTATAATTTTCTCAGCTACTCTGTCTACCTGCCAGGACACTCCACCACTGCACAGCCTACCCGTCCAACCATACAGAAATTCTAACTCAGTTTCAATTCAAAATCCCGGAGTCAGGATTCCAACTGGCCTAGTTTTATCTGGTGGCCAGCAGGACCGTCTTCCGTGGGTGAGGGGAAGGCCCATGTGAGCTGAGCAAGCTCTCCATCGGCCGCCACAAGTCCTTGTGAGCAACTGTTACATTTTACTTGACTTTCTTAAAGCAGTAGTTTGATTTCTGTTGAACAGTTTTCTACAGAAGAGTTGAAAAATACCAACAGGTGTGCCTCACATGGCTAAATTTAAACCAATGCAGGGCAACCAGTTTGCTTGGACATTTATTGCCTGCGATATACTTGTTCGCATTGGGCTGCGTGCTAGCGTCTCCTGGGAACTGACACCTAGGTTCCTCATCCACAGAGCCTGATTTCACTGGTCTTGAGTGCAACCTAGACATCAGGAAGTTTTTAAAAACTCCCCAGCAGTTGTAAAGGCAGTCAAGGCTGAGAATCCTGCAGTAGCTTGGATTTGACAGGAGATGACCACAGCATTTTGCCTGGTGGCATGTATGCCTGTGGGGAAGAGTCCGCATTATTCGTTTCTATTTTCAAGACCTTAATTTCTGTTTCTAATCAAATGTCTACCGTTTACATCTGGAGCTCATTATCGCAAATGGATATTTAAAAAATAGAACGGTTCAATACGGAAATGCATCTTAAGATAATTTGGAATCAGTTCTGAGACTGATTCAAACAGTTGCTTATTTCATATAAATGGATGCAATTTATAAATAATTGTAAGTCTTCAATCTCTAAATTATTGTTTAATTACCGATCCCAATTAATAAGAATTATAGAAAAACAACTATCAGCAATGTATAGTACCAGATGATGATTTCATTTCCCTAACAGTTTTCAATTTTCTTTAGCCAATTAATTTAATTTTATTTTCTATTCAAGGAAAAAATAGATCTATATAAAATACATAGACTTTTGTGAAATATTTTGCCCTGTTCTCTTTCTCCATATTTTGGGGTTCACTTCATTTATATCAGCTGTTTCAACTGCATCTTGATTTTTTCAAAATGCAAACTATACATATTTAATAACCAAGAAAAGCATAGTTGCAGAATGTACAACCCAAAGGACAATTAATTAAAAGAACTAATTTTAAAATTGTTATTTGGCTTTAATTAAAGATCTGGCTGCTGAAATTTTCTGAATTGTTCTTTTTTTAAAGAAAACTGTGGAATGACAGAAACTATAGTATCAAAACTTAGTTTATTCCAAGTTGCGTCCCATAACTCTCAATCTTTAAACAAAATGGCCAGAGTAATGAAAATTAAGAGTCACCTGTCCCACCCATGGTTGTATAATAGGATTTCTATTTATACATCATTCACTTTGCATTTCAGAAAAGTTGGTGGTAAAGAAAAGTCTTGTCAAATGAATCCTATTTTCTCTTTTCTCCCAGTTTAATAGTTAAGATGGAAATACCTAGGAAGGACAGTCAGGACCATTTCTTTATTGGTTTGTTTTGTTGGTACTGAGATTCGAACTCAGGACCTTGTGCTTACCAGGCAGGCTCAATTCCACTGAGCTATATTCCTGGCCCCAGGAACTTTTCTTTAAATTCTCTCATTTTACTATTGAGAAAAAAGATTCAGATTGGGAAATTAATTTTCCAAAGGCACTTGGTTCAAAGAGGCTCAGGGAATCCATGATTCCTCACTTCTGAGTCAGTCCTTTTCCCACCCTGAGAGCCTTAAGGACTCAAATGAGAGATTTGGATGAACATCACCATCCCTGTACAGAGGACACTAACACCCTATTAGGAGTTTAAGATATCTGGTTCTCGCTTAGCATTTCCTCCTCTTGCTCTCTGCTGATGCTTTCCTCTCTCAGTTGTTAGCCTTTGTACCTCAGAGATCAGCGTTTCCCAATGTGTGTTCCCAGAAACAGAACTCCTATTACGTAGTAGTAAACATGGGGAAGAGGTCCATGGTCAAAGTCGGAAAGTACTGGAAAAGTGGGATAGCCATTTGTCCTTACTGGAGATGTTCTCAGTGGCTCTGAGGCAGGAGATGAGGGCACAGAAAAGCATCTGGGCAATTGGGTGTGACCGGTTGGTCATGGAGACTTGTTATCCATGGAGATTCAGGACACAGTTGCAGAGCAACCACTAAGCCCTTCATACCTAATAGCAATCAGAGAATGCTGTCTTTGGTTCTTCTGCCACAAGAGCAAGCTGAGCTCCACACCTGATGTGAACCTTCTACCATGAGATCAAGGGAGTTCATGATGGCACAGCCTAGATCTGATGTCAGAATTGGGGAATAAAAGAGAGTGAGAGGCATGGAATATGCAGCATTTCTCAAACACGTCTGTCTATAGAGCACTTGTCCTGCAGAGGCTCCCATGCCCTTACCCACCCACAGAACTTCCTTGGAGAAATACTACTGCAGGTTCCTTCACCACAGCCTGGGAACCCTGGCTCTCGCCAGAGTCACAGAAATGTGTCTCCCTAGTCTGTGTGCACATGTGTGCCTGTGTGTTGTTTGGGGTTGTGGCTGCCAGGGGGCTTTTGCTGTTTTTTGCCTTGCCTGGATATTTCACTGATCCCAGACCAGGCAAGTTGATTCTTCAGAACTGCTTTTCACCCAAAAGCAAGTATGCTAAAGCTTGAGCATTCCCTAGCTCTGAAGCCTTCCTCACCTAAGATAAAGAAATTTTCTCATATTTTAAATTAGACAAACATAACTATAGATAATACAGTTAACTTATAACAAAGGATAAATCTAAGTGAAAGTTATTCACCATGAATATTGGAGCTTTACATCTTACTGAATATTTTGGTTCTGGTTTGTGAGGTTTTAATATAATTTAGAATCACATTAAGTCAAAATAATTTGACTTATAAGAATTAAATTACCAATAAACATGAGCCACAGATAACACTAATTTATACTGCTGACATATTCTTCTGTAGTTAATCACCTATAATTCTGTGAAGCGTTACAGAAGTGAAATGTGGGAAATGGTATTGATTGATTTTCATCAGCCCAACTTATCACTGTCAGTGGTTATGCTGAACCTCGCAAGATTTAAGCGCACAAACTTGCCCCTAATAATAATGAGTATTGTCAATATTTTAACCTGTGGATCAGGAGAAAGTATCTCTAATTTGCTGTAGTGAATCCTTCCAAAAGCATAAGGGACAGGGTGCTCTTGGGACTTAATCAGTGATAATCAAATGGGACTATTTGGCCTAAGAAATCCAAATCTTTGTTAATTTCTAGTAATATGACATTCTAGAATAGAATTTCTGCACTTCCTGCCTCGTAGGCCCCCAGAAGGGAGGACCCCCAGTGCACAGGGAGCCACGGGCGGGGAGTGCCGGTCTTCCGGCTGGCTCACTTCCTGCGGGAGCCACGCAGCTGAGAGCGCTGTGGCGTGCCGTCCTTCAGGCCGGCCGCCACTGCTCAATTGAGAGCTATCATGACACAGAGAAACAATGACAC